GTAAGTCTTCAGTGTCAAGATGGTATGAGTAGAAATACTCCATTACCTTCCAGCTATGTGACCTTGAGCTAGTCACTGTACCTTTCTCTACTTCACTTTTAGAATCTATAAAATTGGGGTAATAATAAAATCTATCTCCTGAGGTCATGAGGTAGGTCAAATGAGACAATGTATATAACATACAGTGCCTAGCACACAGCAGACACTAAAGCAAAGGAGTCTAGAAGGAAGATGTGTTTTTGGTAGAAGTCTCTGGGATGTGGCCCTGAGCATTCTCTTAGTCACTGTTGGCAGTTTCGGCCAAAATCCATTTAGATAAATGACTAGATGTTTTACTGCCTATTTGCCATTCAGAATTTTTACCCGAAAACTTATACTAATCCTAGACTTTTCTCTCAAACCTAGATCCCAGTGTTGACCAGCTGTAGTAAGTTTTCTTCAAGTTTTTAGAACTGGTTTCTACCTCAAGCTCCTCAAAGTCCATATCCCCCAAAGAACATCCTCTCGTCTGCTATGACACCAGTTTACAGACTACCCTGTGTGGCCACTGGGATGCCAGATGGGCAAATGGAATGTAACTAGTTCCTCCTGAGCAGTCTCAGAGCCAGATGGGAGCAGGGACCCATCCAGGTCATCTGGACCACCCCTTTGCCCTTGGGACCACACATGCATCCCCTGCATTAGACTGCATGCAAGAGAGGGAAATACAAAATTTCATTGCGGAGAAGAGGGGTCCCAGGTTGACCATTTTGGTTTTGTAGACACATTGGTTGAAGTGTTTGGCATGTATCACATCACATCTTAAGAATGAAAGAGCAAACACATTCTGAATCTTAGGGAGTGGTACCTAAGAGTTGTCCTCCATTGAAGATTGCCTCAGGCTACTATGAGTCTACTTTTAGTTGTCCAAATTAAATTAGCAAGTAATTAAGTCATGCAAGCAAAGGTTGCTTTCATGTGATATGAGGCCCTTAAAACAATCTAGTTTGACTTTGGAGGGAGAGGAGCCTCTGTCTCTCTCTTCCCTGGCTCTTCCTTCCTCTCCATAATGGGATGTCGGGGTCCATATGCTGTTAAGATTGTGAAAAACTTTGAATCACTAAGAAGTTCAAGCTCGAGGAGTCTAAGTGCATTTCCTAGATGCACTTCCTGAGGATCTTTATAAAAAGTGAATCTGCTCCCTCCAGGGATTGGGATCAGCTCCAGTATAGTGGGAGGAGTGGCCTGGGGTTCTCCTTGTCCTTAACCAAAAGCTATTTCCTGCCCTCCTGGTCCCTCCCCCGCTACCCCAGCCTGCTCTGAGGCAGCAGCATGGAGCTGCCACTGTAAGTGCAGTGCCTCTCCCTGGGCAGCAAGATGGACCACGCTGGTCACGTCTCCCTGGACAAAGATGAAATAAATCACAGAACAGCCCCTGCTTAAGATCTGATGAAATTCTCCATTTCCGCTCTAAATTGAATTCCTCCTGAAGGATTGGAGTGGCTCTTGAGAGTAATGAAGGCACTCCTTCCTCCTCTGCTAGAAGCATGTTTTAAATTAACAGACACAGCCTTCTGATCTGGGTGGGGAGGTAGCTTTTAGGAACAGTCTTGAGATGCTGTTTTCAGGCCAGAAATGATATTTTTAATCTCAAGGGGGCAAGGCAGCAGACATGCAACACCATGTGGCCTCCTCTGAAGGGAGCAGCCCCGCTGGTGGTCTCCTGGGAAAGAATGAGAACACGTGTCCCGCCCTTGCTCTTTGCTGCCCTCCTGCTCAGCCCACTGTCCTCCTCCACCACTTGTGACAAAAGAGAAATTTATGATAGAGAATCCGAACCAGTGGGCTTGTGCTTTCTGAGAGTTGAAAGTATTACTTTCTCATCCATCTCTTCTTTGGGAAAAGCGATAAATTCTGTGAATTAAAAAACAAACAAACCCAAAACTGTATTTAGGATGAAGGCATCATTGAAGTGATTATCTTCCATCCTCTGCCATGATGAATTGATAACTTGGCATTTGTAGAGGCAGCTGACACAGACCCTTTCAGGGGAAAACAAGAAAACCTGTTTTCAAATGGGCCTTGTCAGAGTGAAGACGGATGACCTGCTGGCTGATTAGAACCATGAATAAGGCTCTGAGAACGTGGGAATGTGCGAGGAACCCAGGGGTGAAACTTATAAATCAAGGTTAAGGTAGAAGTAGAAAATTCTAAACATCCATTCTATAATAAAGGTGGGCAGGAAGTAGATTATCTGTTGGTAAAGGAGTATTTAATATTACTCCTTGAAGTGAGCTTAAGAGCATTAGACTTTTCCCCACTCCCTTTTGAAAAAAAAAAAAAAAAAAACAACAATGTAAAAAATCCTACTTGACAGGAGGAATTTTGACATTTAGGGTCGAAAGGAGAGGAGGAAAGTCTCCTTAAAAGTAAATGCTATTGCTTCGTGTGTGTCAGAATTTTCTTAACAGCCCTTGAGAAAGGTTATCAAAACCTGACTCCATGTTTTTAATTTAGCTTTAAGAAGGAGGCCATTTCCTTCATAGGGAAATACGACCCCAGAGTAGCCCACAGGTAAAACCCAACCTCAGAGGGCGGACTCCATCCACTACAAGAGGATTTCCTACTTCTCAACTGGAAAATTGCTTTTCAGGGAGAAGGTCATGTTGTCCACAGATAATAGGGTCACTTATATCAAGTGAAACGCCTTTCCTTCTGACCCAGGGGGACGTTTAGACTTTGATCTTTCTCAGAAGACAGTAGGAAGTACATTTATTCCTGGCAAGGCAGAAGGGACTGGGGATGGCAAGTGGGAGTGTGGGATTCCAGCAGTGCCAGTGTGGGTCCTGAGCCCAGCAGGGATGCACTGGGGCCGGGCCTGGGGGAGTCCTGGCAGGTGGGGAAGGAGGTCTGGTGGAGACAACAAAGGCCATCGGAGGGAAAAGATTAAAGGGCAGGAAAAGGCACAGCTGCCCCCCAGCCCCCATGCAGCTGCTTTGGTGCATTCCTTCAGGCTCTCTAGACTTTGATATTTGCACCAATGGGCCTTGGCTGGGCTTCTACCTCGGGACCGAGCAGCAAGTGGTCACCGTGGACAGAGCAGGCTTTTTCTCCGTGGCCAGTCTGGCTGGGATTTCAGTCCTCCGCTTGTGGAGCCCTCCTGGGTGGATTGGACAGACGGCTGTCCTGTCCTCGCTGCTACGTGCGGACCGTCCGTGTCTCTGGCCACAGACCCATCCAACACAGGCTCGCCTCGGAGCCTGTTTACAAGGCCTGCAGTTACTTCTGTTTTGTTTTAGCCAAAGAGGTGAAATGCTGCCAGCAGTATGTCTGGAATGTTATTTACTTGGTACATTTCTGTGGCTTTCCTTTGTGGGGCTGCACATGCCAGAGCAAGGGGTCATTTACTCCGAAAATGCCAGGTTTCACAGTTTGTCTTCTCCACGGGAAGACTTTCTCAGTAAGAAGGTTAGCTCCTGGGCCTCCCCCTTCCTCCTTCCTTCCTTCCTTCCTTCCTTCCTTCCTTCCTTCCTTCCTTCCTTCCTTCCTTCCTTCCTTCCCTCCCTCCCTCTCTCCCTCCCTCTCTCCCTCCCGTCAATCCTCCCTCTGGTCTTCCCCTCTTTCCTGCCTCTTTTTGTTTTCTGAACCAGTGCTCTGAGCTGTGCACCGCCCCCCCCCCCCCTCCGTCCTGGATGCCCCAAGTGCACTTTCAATTCCTGGGCTTTCTGGTGGACTCCGCCGAGGGCCTGGCAGACACTTTTCGTTTGCGTGCCTGCCCTGTTATTATTTCACATGAAAGCTGTCTATTTTGGCACACATGGCTCCTGCGATTTGAGTTGAGCTCTGAGAGCTGAACGGGCGATGTTGTGCAAGGAAAGTACAGGTGGGGTTTTCTCTCCTGGTGGCCGTGGGGGCGGAGGACAGATCTGCTGCGTTCAGTCCTGGCTTGTGTAGAGCCGACAGGATAGCAAACAAATGGCTTTTAAAGGAAGGAACCAGTGTGTACGGTTTCTTAATTTGGGAGGTTTCACAACTGTTCTTGTTCAGTTGATGGAGGAGAGGTTTTGGGGGGTGTTTTTGTTTTTTGGTTTTTCTGTTGTTGTTGTTTTTGTTTTGAGAGAAAATTCTTCATTAATAAAACTGCAGACAAGTCCTGCATAAATGAGCAATGCAGAAGTTGGAAGCGCGGGAGGTTTTCCATCCACCTCTTCTTTTTTCAGCCTCCCTTCCTCCCACTTCATCCATGCAGTACTAATCATGGTATTTGGGGTTTTAAAACAAGGTATAGAAAATGAGATTAGATAAATCTCCCCAGCTGGTGCCAGCCCTGGGCCGTTTGCACACCTGGGTGGGTACTCCTCCCCACCCCCCACCCCCTGCCTCATTTTGTTATGTCATGTGAGTGTATAAGCACCTACAGAGGAGATGATACCTTTGAAAAGCTTTGTCTTCCAGAGACTTGGCCTTTATCTGAGTCTCTGGGAAACCTCGCCCATCCCCGGCACCTGTTAGTGTGTTAACTCCGTAGCCAGCCCCAGTCTGAAATGGAAAATTTTGGTCCCATTCTTCTTGGCTTTTCCTGTCTTTCTGCATGACTTCTCAATTTGTGTGTAAGCTCCTCGGATTTTGGGCTGAAGGGGCTTCTTTGATCCTCTCTTGACAGCATGGGCTTCACATTCTCACACCTGCTCTTCTTTTACAGTCCAGATTTCAGAGTAAATGCTTCCATTGCCTTGTCATTTCTTTGGTTTAAAACTTTGGTGCAGGTTACTCATTACAGGTAATAGCTGTTGGATGACGGAGACAACTGCTTGGCACAAATGGCCACCTGAACTGCTGCCAGAAATGTAAACCGCCACTTTATTTATTTCTGAAAGCATCTAAGCTGCAAGCCTACCGGTCATGATCTAGCATGCGCATGATAATAACAGGCTCACCAGGCTGAGAAAGACGCCCCATGGGGCAGCCTCAAGGGCAGGCTCTAACAAGCCTCTGTGTGTTTTCTCCCCCATTATTCACAGCCCACACATCATTTTCCTCTCTCAGAGCGTCTTGATAGGAATGAACCATCTCTGTGGGACCCGGCTCTGCCATGAAATCGCTCACGCCTGGTTTGGCCTAGCCATTGGGGCCCGGGATTGGACGGAGGAGTGGCTGAGTGAAGGGTTTGCCACTCACTTGGAAGACGTGTTCTGGGCCAAAGCGCAGCAGGTAGGTTTATAGTAACCCTAAGCAATTCCCAACCTGGAGTCAGGTTCAATTTGTAGGCATCTGTTCATTCCACGGATATGGAGAGGGCCTATCGTGTGGTAGGACTGTGCGGTCTGCTAAGGAGAGAGCTGATTCAAGGAGAGCCCTGGGCACATCTCACTGTAGGGACAGGATTGAGGATAGAGGAACAGGCAAACACATCCATAACGTGTCAGGTGGTGAGCGCCATGAAGGCAGGTGAACCAGCCAGACAGTGGTGGGGAGACTCAGTTTTAGGAGGCACCGAGAGGAGGCAGCTCTGAGGGTGGTGGACATTTGCACAAAGACTGGGAGAGAAGGGTGTGTGGTGGCACCAACTATGCTCAGTTTTATTTTTTTGCTGATCAGATGAAAATTTAAATCAGGAGGCATAATCTCAAGATGTCTGCTGGCAAGTCATGAAGAATAAAGCGGGCAGTGCCGTAGGTTAGGGAGTGCTGAGGACTTAGATAAAGTGGCAGCCTCCCCTCAGCCCAGACCAATTGTGGTGGTGTCAGTGGGGCGGCTCCATAGCGCCTGGACTCTATCTGTTTAAAGGAAGTTGTAAATATGGATATTTATGTGAAATTTAGTAATTTAAAAAAATATTATGCCAACTCAACATACCCAGAGGTGCGGGGAACACTTTCCCAGTTTACAACCGCTATTTTAAAGAACTGACTGTCGGTTCTGATGAGGATATGGCAGCTAAACTGCCTCCTGCTTATTTTTCAGTTCCTATTATTTGGTCACTCTTTTCCCTGCCATCCCTACCCCTTATGCACTGGACTAGTTAACATTTTCTGAAATCCTCAGGTTTGTGCATACCTGTATGATTTTGTTCAAATTCCTTGTGCCTGTTGCAATCCTGTTTATTTTTCACTAACCAGCTTGAGGTCACCTTCTCTGGATAGCCCAGACTGACCATTCCACTCGCAGCACTTGCTCTTCTAGAAGCTTTGAACTCCCACAGTATTTGGTACTTAACTCTTTTCCCTCACTTTTTTCTTCTTCTATTCTCACAACTAGACTATGACCTCCTTCCAAGTGGAGCTGCTTCTTATTCAGCTTCCCACTCCCCCTGCACTTTGGCCAGCAGTGTGTGCATGTGTGTCCTCTGCCACATGGTGGAGAGAGGCCACTGGCAGATTTGGGCAAAGTGGAGGGGTTTGGCCTCAGACCAGGCAGGGAATCCCAGCCCTGCTGTTCACCAGCTCTGTAAGTACGTAGGTTACATGGCCTCTCTGACCCTCAGGTTCCTCATTCGGAAAATGTGCCTAAGAATGTGTAAGGTGGCACAGTGAATGGGATAATTCTGAATGACACATGGAGCTCATACGGGAAATGCCCATTCTCCTTTTCTGTTCTTTCTCTTTATATTTCCCACCACCCACCTGACCCACAGTAGGCATTCAGCAAGGGTTAAATAATTTAAGGCCAATATCATCATCCTTTCTCTGGGGCGCTTCAGCCCTGAGACAATCAGATTTGTGCTGTTCTTGGTAATCATGAGTATATTTCAGGCATCTAACGATGATCTCTCTGGCCTTTATCCCTGGATCCCTGGAAAGCACTCCACCGTTGCCTTGGCCCCTGCCCATACTTCCAGAGCTTCCAGAGGGTCAGTCCTGAGTCTCATTGCTTGGGTCCTGCCTCTTACTGCCCTGAATATGTCCTTCTCCACTGATAGACATGAAGCCAATCTGGCCTCACATCACAGCTGCATGCCTTCTGTGTGTCCATTCTGTGCTTGACCTGTAGGGATAAAAGGACAAGTAAGACACAGCCCTGCTCTGAAAGAGGTCATAGTTTAACTGTGAAGATAAGAAAAGCATACACACACACCAAAAAAAAAAAAAAAAAAAAAGAAAAGAAATGAAATGAAAAGGAAAAGCATACACAGTAAAAGGAAGAAGAATATATGTTAGAAGAGAGAGGTAAACACCAAGTATTGGGCAGCCCGGGTGGCTCAGCGTAAGTTTAGCGCCGCCTTCAGCCTAGGGTGTGATCCTGGAGACCCAGGATCGAGTCCCACGTCAGGTTCCTTGCATGGAGCCTGCTCCTCCCTCTGCCTGTGTCTGTTCCTCTCCCCCTCTCTGTGTTTGTCTCTCATGAATAAATGAATAAAGTATAAAAAAACAAAAACAAAACACCAAATATTGTATGATTTCAAAGGTGGAAGAGGTCAGGCCTGAGCTGGTCCAGAAATCTTGAAGAAGGTGACTTCTGATATGAGCCTCAAAGAGAAAGTAGGAGTTGAGGTTTCTCTATTCTTCTTTCCCTTAACCTGGCATAGGGGACAACGCACCTCATCATCCTCTAGGGTATAGGCAGTATCTCTTCAATATGTGAAAACATTTTGGTCTGAAGCAAAGCAGCCATTCTGGGCTCCAGCTCAAAGCTTGGAAGCACTTCCAGAGTACATGGATTATTCAAGCCCCTTCCTTGAAGGGTGGGACTGAGGTGCTCATGGTCCCTGATGAGTGTCTGCAGCAGACTTTCCAATTTCCAAGCAAGAGAGGAGGGCTCTTCAGGACAGGGAAGGTGGGCTGGCTCATGGGGCTCTCCTGGTTAGCAGCGGATGCCTCCAGGGAAGAGGCGATGAGGCATGTTGGCCACTGGGCTGCCCAGAAGACTGGGCTCTGCAGCACTAAACATTAGCAAGCAGAGTGGGGCGGGCAGGGGTGGGTGGGTGGGGGACACCACTGAACGAGGAGATAGAAGGTGGCATTCCTCTTGGCGTGGCATTCACCAGGGAGAAGGGAATTGGGTTAATTGCAAGGTTGCCTCATATAACTCGTCATTGACCTGGATAAAGTCTAGCTTCCTTCACAGATGTCTTAGCTCAGGCTGCCGTAACACAATACCACAGACAGGAGGGCTTGAACAACCCTCGTTTTCTCACAATTGTGGAGGCTGGAAGCCTAAGAACAGGGTGCCGGCAGGCTTGGATTCTGGTGAGACTTTTCTTCTGTGGCTTGGTGATGGCCACCTCCTCACTCTGTGCTCCCATGGCTTTTCCTCTGTGCACATGTAGAGAGCGAGCTCTGGTGTCTCTTCCTCTTCTTGTGAGGACACCAGTCCTATTAGGCCAGGGCCTACCCTGATAACCCTGTCAATCCTAATCCTTAAAGGTCCTATCTCTAAATATAGTCACATTGGGGGGTTAGGACTTCACCATGTGAATTTTTGGTTCCTAGCAACAGAGTACACAGGACCTGTGGATCATCTGGTCTCTGCTGGCTACCTGGCACCTCTGTCTCTCCCTAGATAATAGTGTGCTCCTGGCCTGACTACATCCCTAACCGTTCTCTAAACACATCACACTCTTCCCAGGCCCCGTGAACCTTGCACAGGCTTTTCCTCTTCCTGAAATTTCTCCCCCCAGGCTGGCTCCTGCTTTCCTGGGCACCTGTGCAGGTCCCACCACCTCCTCAGGGAAGCCTTTGTACTCACCTGGCTGGCCAGAGGGCACCTCAGTTCTTCTCTCACCTGTATCATCACTGCACTCTGATGGCTGGTGTTCTCAGTCTTCCTGAACTCCTCAGGGTATGAGCTGTGTCCATAATGTACCCAGGGCCTGGTAGAGACTCAGTAAATATCTGTTGAATGAACTGTTAAGGATCTTTAATTTCCAGAAGTGCCTGTCATTACTAACAGTTCCCTCCCAGGTGGATGTTCTGCCGCCCTTCCTTGCAGAGACTTTAGCCATGGGGCCTCATGAGCCCAGTGACAACAGACGATTCTCACCAGCAGGGCAGGGTGTGATGGCCTTCCCCTCCCCCAGAATGAGTACACTCTGGTTATGTGCAAACAGAATCATCTGGGCTACATTAGCAGGCTCCTTAACAAAACTGAGGGCTGGGAAAAGTAGGAGGTAAATGGAGGGGACCTTCCCCACCTTGTGCAGAAAAGACAAAGCAGGAAAGGGCTGGATGGAATCAGAGTGGAAATGTAGGAATTCTGCTCTGTCTGGGTCAGGGGCGTGTGTGGGGTGGGTTCCCAACAGCCGGGCCCAACTCCATCACCAGCAGGAGAGTGAGCCACTGTGGCTTCGTCTGAGGACCTCCCAGACCCCTTTGGCCTACTGACTTTTCTGATGGGATGCAAGGCCCAGCAGGGAGGCCATCTGTACCATCACCCTACAACTGAGCAAGCTGCTCTATCGGGTGGCTGTGACCTCGCACGAGGACAACAGTGACTGTGTTTTGTGCACATGTGTTTGTGTGTCTGTCGCCCAAACAGCTGGCCCCCCACGAGGCATGGGAACAGCAGGAGCTGAAGGCTGATCTGCGCTGGCGTTGCCTCCAGGATGAGGTGCGGAACTACCCCGAGGAGATGCAGGTGTTGAGGTAAAGTGCTGTGTGATCTCTTTACCTTCTCATCCTCTGCCTCCCCTTCCAAGATGCATCCTGGCAATCTATTAAATCAGCTGTTTCCTTTTTAAATCAAATTAGGTTAGGTCACTCATCCTCCCAGGGATGTGGTTCTTATGTTTTAAATTTTTCGGGGTGTGGGTTTAGATTTGCCTTCTGACATTTTCCTGGTATCTCTTGTTCAGGAAAAAACAAACACAAGGCCATTTATTTCCAGGAGCAAATTCTTTGTTTGAAGTTCAAATAGTCACTCTGTGTGGTGGCTGAGGACTTGGACAAGGTTGGGGTTTGGTAGCCTTACAGACAGTAACCCTTTAAAGCTAAAAGAAAAAACAAAAAAACAAACCTTTAGGAAAATATTGAGTCCTAAGTGTTTAGTAGTAACAGATGTTGGTGTCAATGGGGCCTTTTGTTTTGGGTCATCCTAGCAGGAGGCCACTCCTGTGCCTGGGGAAGATTGCACTCCTAGCTCCTGTGTTTGCTTTCCAAAGTGTGTTTCCTGGTAGGATTGCTTCTTGCTATCTTTCTGTTTTTGCCCCTCTCTACTTTGCTCATTTTATTTATTTCTCTAAATAGTTGTTTATCTGAAACCCCAAGCCTTGGCCCCAGGAATACTGTGATTGCTATGACAACAGAAGCCCCTTCTCCACTACAGCCAAGTGTGTGGAATATGCAGTCAGACAGGTGGGAAGACAGCCATCCAGCAGTCGCTCCCCATTTTAGGCGACAACCCTAAAGGCCAGTTTACCTTTGGGGTATAAGCAGTTCAGTTGTTTTTAAATAAGCATCCCCACTCCACAGTGGTTGGCTACTGAGGCCAAAGTCTGAGGGAAATGCACCAAGCCCAGCCCAACCCCAAGGAGGCTGGCTGGTGCTTTTGTACAGCCTACTGCTTGGGGTGCAGCCATTCTTCTTCCCATGAAGAAATGTCCCTCCCCACACCCCCAGGGGCTTGCATACAAACCTCTGCAGTCCTCTGACTCATCCATTATTTAGGAAAGCTAGATCCAGAGACAGGAGCCCCACTCTCCCCACTCATTCCCCACCCAGCACCGCAGTATGCACACCTCTGCACTCAACCAGTGGGATGGCTGTACCTGTGACCCATGTGGATGGGGTCCGTGCTCTCACACAGCTCCCACTTAGCAGGACCCCGTTGCATTCATGGCTAGTTTTAGATGGTGAGAAGTGGCACGATCCGGAAGGTGACTCAAAGGCCCTGAGGCAGGAAAGGGCTTGGCCTGCTGGTGCTTGAGGAACAGAAAGGAGGGTCAGATGGGCAGAGAGAGGCAGGCAGGAGTCACCCCAGCTGGCCTTATGCCACAGTGCAATGCAAGGTGCTCCAGGGCCTGCAGCAGGGATCCTGATAGGTCTTGTGTTTTCAGTGCTACTCTGGCCACTGGGGGATGGACTGCAGGCTGCAGCAGGATGGGAAGGTGGAGGTTTAGAACCTGGCAATCACCCATGTAAGAGGTCCTGGCGGTGGTGGTGGCAGATGCAGGGAGCAGATCCATCAGAGACATGTTTGGGTGACGGAGCTGGCGGGTCTTTGGTCATTGAGTGTGGAGAAGAGGGAAATGAGAGTGTCCAGAATAACTCTAGGCTTTTGACTTGAGCAGCTCATTAGATGGTGAGGCCATTTGGTGAAACAGCCAAGACATTGGAAAGAAAAGTAAAAATCCCAGTTTTGTATGCATTAAGTTTGGGATGCCAAATAGACACTCAACACTGAAAACTTAGTGAGGTCTGCAAGTCAGCACCACACCAGAGAGATGGAAACAGTCCATAAATTCTTAAAATTCTGAGCACACTGAAATCACCAGGGAGAGAGGGAAGAGAGGGAAGAGGTGGAAGGAAGGTGGGGAGCCAGTGGAGGAGCTGGGCATCTGGGCATCATGATGAATATTAGTTGGTAAAATGTGCTTCCAGTTTATAAGCAGGCCAGCCGCACATGGGGAAGTCAGTACGCACGTGAGGAGAGCCTTCTCTCTGGACTTGGTGGAGTTATGATCAGCCCAGCCTCTGATGGCCAAGACCTTTGACTATGTGTATGGGAGAAGAAATACACTATTTTTAGACCCTTGTGCTGGAAAGCTTATTATGGCATTTGTTTTTCTTTTTCTTAGTATTCAGAAATTGTGTTTGGCTAAATTTAGGCTAACCATGAGATGACTGCTTTTGAAAGATTTGTTGCACATCGGTATGGAAATTTGTTATCAGATGCACTTACAATGAAGAGGAAATGTCTCTGAACCTGCCCTGAATTATATAGTCTAGGTTTACTTTATCCCTTCCTTTAGAATTCTCCCTTAAATGGGCACAGAGAACCTAGAAATTACTAAAAGTGGAAACAAATTGGAGTTATAAAAATTTGTTCTCAGATTTTATTTGTTTTATATGCAAATAAGACCTTGGGAAAGAAGTCGCTTAAACCAAGTCAGTAATAAAAAATGCTATCTTTTTTTCCCCTCTCCTTCAAGATAGCCCATGGTCTTGAAATGATGGACCAAGAACAATTTGGAAGTCTTGGTTTGTGTCTTGATATGTTCCTAGTTCCTTGGTATGGACAGACGAAATGGAAACTCCTCTTACTCATCTTTGCAGCAGTTTTCAATATGGTTGACCACTCCCTCCTTCTAAAAACACTCTCTTCTTTTGGCTTCTGTGTGCCACACTCTCCTTGATTCCTTCTGCTCTGCTGCCAATCCTTCCCCACCTCCCTGCTGGCTATTCAGCATCTTCATGACTTAGATGACTCACAGCTCAGAAAGAGGGATTAAAGTGTCCAGCATCATACAGCTGATAAAGAGCAGAACACAGATGGAAATCCTGGAAATCCAGGGTTGGAAACGACCTTCTTTTCCCCACATACTCTCTCTGCCTTCAAGGAACTCAATATAGCATTTAGTTGCATTAAAACAACAAAACCAAACCAAAAAGCCATGGCAGGTATCTTGAACTGTAGAAGGACATGAAGGTCATGGTTAGAAAGAAGTATCTTCAGACCACGTAATCTTTGTCTTTATACACACGAGTGCATGTGTCTGAATTATTTTGGTAGCTATCACGAAAAAAGAAAACTCAACGTTGTGTTGATTATAGATATTGGAGTATTAACAAAGTGAGAAGATAAAAACTAAATAGTGTTTGGTTCTGGCTTGCTAATTTTAGTAATTTACAATAACTGTTTTCCGATTGTATCTCCCATACATCTAGTGTTGAACATGGCTCTCATCGGCTGTGTCCTGGATTGACTTGGTTGTTAAGATTCATTTGGTTACAACAGCTCCTGTGTTTTCCTTTTCTGCCTTCCCTGCCTGGGAGGCCTGTAATGTGGCTGCAGGCTCTCGAGGCATGCCAATTTGCTCATAGTTTCAAAAGGTTAGGGGTCATATTACTGACTCCAAGCCTTTTCTCATTTGTTCATTATTGAAGATGCTTTTCCCACAGACGAGACCCCAGTGGCCCTCCCCAGACTCTCCCTCACCTGTCCGCTGACTCTGGGCATAACTGTGTGCCAGGCGAAGCTGATCTTATTACTGTCTCATTCTGCTTGGCCACCACCACTTCCCTTTCTGTCATTCGCAGCCCCAGCCCACCCTTGACCTTGTAGCAGTCAAGACTTTTGCTGCTGAAGATGTCAAGGGCCTTCTGTAGGCTCCCTTGCTTCTGGTCCCTGGGCCCTGCTGGATTCCCACATTCTCTCTGAAGTGCTTTACTCTGTTACCATACTCTGACGGTCTGGGGATGGAAGAGCTACGACGGGGTCAGGAGAAATCGCTGTTGGTTTTTATTGTTTGTGATTTATTATCACTTCCCCTCTTTTCTGGATTCATTGTTAAAGTCAAGCTCATGCTGAGAGAAATGTGAAAATACATCATGTTGAGGAGGCGCTGACAGGCCTAGAATCTGTGTGGCTCTTTCTCCTAGCTGCTGCCCCCACAGACAATATGATTCCGGAGAAATATGGATTATCTTGTCCTTCCTTCTGCATAAATGCCTCATTCTCTGGTCACAGAGACATCCCATAGTAATCGAGGGGAGCCCCAAGTATGCAAGTCTCCTCTGGAGATGGAGCCAAGATGAAATGTGTGTGCTGCTGGCTCTGTGAGTCTGCATGATGCCTAAGCTGCATGTTCCATTTGAAACAACGAGACTTTTGAGATTAGTCTAAGTGTGTACCTCCGGTAATACACGAAGCTTTCACCTCTGACAGTTTTCTCAAAATTTTAATTTCTGATCCTTGAAGAACACAGCAGTATTTTCCCACCCACATGTGGGGACTCATCCACTCACCACCACCCAAACCTGCCTCGTGGTCAAGCCCCCCTCCTCTGAGAGTCTCTTGTCACTGTCACACACCTGCCTCCGCCGCCCCTCCATCCTGGGGCCTCAGACTCAATGCACCCACTTCAGGCACCGCCAGCCCCGCAGGCTGCGAACCAAGACCTTCCCTCTCCCCTGGGTAGCTCCCTTCCCTGTGGCCTTTGGTGTTGGTTCCAGACCTTGCTCCTCCTCACTCTCCCTGCCTCCTCTTGCCTCCTGTCCCCCAGGGAAAACTAAGTCCATTAACATGTTCTTCCTTCAGTTCTATAAATGCATCAACATCCACATCTCCCTGGCCTCTCGGAGGCCCAAGAGCCCACTGTCAGTTTCAGTACAGCTCAAGACACGTTTCTAATTCCAGAGGTGGCAATGGCGACGTGTGTGCATTGACGCAAATCTAGAACTTACATGTGTCTAAGTGAGCTTTAGATCCTCTGCCCATGAAGAGGAAGGGAGGGGAGGATCCATATATGAGGGGAGAATGAAGTTTCCATCACTTTGGACCATGGGCCAGGGTCATGAGTCTAGGGAAACTATTTTTCTTCCTGAGTTAATTTTGCCCTTATGATCACCAGATTTTGTAAACATATTCCAGTCTTTATATTATCGGAGCTCCTCTGCTTTGTTTGGTACTATTGATAACTCTTCCT